GCATATTCACACACAGACAGACACATTCACACATTTCAAATCATTTCACACTTCATCAAGAGGCTTCGGTCTAGGGTATATTTCCAGAAGTGAAAGATGATCCTACAACTTTTTCTGACCTGATAATGTCTGTCGTATGAAAGATGAAGGCCTTGCATGTTTTCTCCGCAATCTCAGAAGATTGCCTCGGAAATAGAATAATTGAAGTCATTCAACAGGAATCCGAAGTCGTCTTCTGGTCGGATCGACCTTGTAAGCTCTTCACAAACACACTTTCTATCGAAATGGAAGAAAGATCAACAATTCTGAACCGTGAGATCTGTCGAAATACAACATTTCTTGGCAAATACTTTCGGGCTTCGAGGTATCCCTTCAAAGAGTGAAACTGGCGCACATATTTCATTCCGTCTGAGAGGTCGAGTGGTTCCCATTGGCGTTTGTATGTTGAATTGTACGATAAGATGACTTATGTTGGTTTTTCGTCTGTCCCATTCTGTCACGGACATCGTCAGAGCCAAAAAGCATCATTCTTCTTTAAAGAAGTTCGCACAATGAGGCATAAGACAGACCAGCAGTGAGTCATCTTCTTCGTTCAGTTAAACACACAAACGCCCATAGCAACCCTCCTTCGGTATCCGGTGCGGCTAATCAACCAATCCCGTGTCCTCGACCTCTCAGACGGAATGGAACTGGTGCGCCAGTGTCACTCTTTGAGGGGCTTCCTGGAAGCCCATCTTCGGCTGATAACAACCGCACAACTGTGCGTCATCTCACAGTCCCTGTTGGCCGGAACCGGCGCCGAGGCGGCAACGTACCTTGTGCGAAGTCGTGCACCTCGCGGACATCGTAGACGGACGCGTTGAAGATGGGGAGCATCGTGAAGTCGTCGACGACATATTCGTACTGGGCCAAGCGGAGAAGGTGGTCGAAGACAACCTGACCGAGTTGGTGAGGGCAAGAGAGGAGGAAGAGAAATCAGTTGCCAGGCCCTCTTCCCTGCTTCATGTGGACTGTACAAGAAAGCCAAACGTGCATGTGGCCTCGACCGTTTCCGACGAGGTCCGGCGAGAAGAGAGTCCTTTCCACTCGGCCACTTGGCAGCGAAAATGCATCGCAGACTCAATCTCGACTCGTCGCAAATGCGTGAGATAAGCCAACTGGAGGCTGTCTCGACCTTTCCTGCAATTGTCGTCTCTGTCCTCGACAACTCGCCTCAGTCCGGGCGAGTCAAACGAGGCGGAAGCTTTTGTGGAACGAATGAAGAAGTCCTCGTCCCTTCGTCTCATCGCCGAGTTGAGCAGATGAGAACCCCCCTTTGGTCGCTTGGCCTCAGCTATGCCTCGAGCCTTCGAGGCCGAATGCGAAATGTCATCTCAACTTTGCACAAATGCACTGAACTCAAGCCATTACAATTCTCAATTTCCAATTTCCAATTTCCAATTTCCAATTTCCAATTTCCAATTGCCAATTAGTAATTCTCAACTGCCAATTCTCAATTGTCAATGCCCAATTGTGGATTGCCAATTGCCAATTGCAAATTCCCAAATGCCAATTCACAATTGCCATTTTTCAATGAGTAATTCCCAATGCCCAATGCCAAATTCTCAATTCTCAATTGCCTATTACCAATCCCCAAATGCCAGCT